GTTGAACGGAAGTCCTCACAGGCAAGCACTTTGCCTTAAAAGACTTTTGGGCCTCAAAATCACACCTGACCATAATACAATCGATTGCTAAGGATACGCGTAAAATAATTGGCTTTCTCTACTGACTCCTCCTGCTATCCTTTATCATATCAGGCCAAAAATGGAGTACTGTTGTTATATTTGGTCGGGAGCTGCCAAGATTTCACTCTCTAGTTTGAATAGAGTTCCAAAGCGTTTCCGGGCCCTTGTGGGTAAGGAATTGTTCTCTAACCTTCAACCTCTCTCCCACAGGCAGGAAGTGGCAAGCCGTTCGCTACTCTACCGCTACTTCCGCGGAAAATGCTCGGACAAAATAGACTCCCTTGTTCAACTGAGGCAAACATTCACAGCAAGAACACGCCATGCAACTTATATACTAGCGAACCACCAATATTTCCTCCGTATTCTATCGTTGAGAAGTAAGTTCTACTCGAGCAGCTTCTTCCGGAGAACCAGACCCCTGTGGAACCGATTCCAACAGGAGGTTTCCCGATCACTATAATCTTAACATTTTCAACTTTAGGGTTAACCATTATCTTCCGCTTCTATACACACAAATTGGTTCCAAACGTTACCGCCTACCTCAAATAGCTGCAGGACCTTTTAAAGAGTGAACCTCACTGTAAAAAATATTCATATACATGCTTATTTATTATGTATATATATGCATATATTATACACTTACTCACATTATATATATATATATATATATATATAATTATTTATTAAAAATATGATTCCATCGCAACATAAGGTTCCCATGTTTCAAAACAAGAGCCGAAAACCTCAATATAATTATTTGAATTAAATTGAATTAAAGTACCAAGCTTAGTAATGAGGTTGGTACTTTTTCAATCAATTCAACAAATGATTTTCGGGTCTTGTTTAATTCTGTGTAACGATGGAATCATTACAAATAAATAATTATATTTATGCTCTACTTTGTATCGAGTACTATTTTTTAAAAATAATAACAAAAATACTAAAGAACTTTGGATTATTTACCTAACGAGTTCTTTCCTGTTTTTCTATATATTTTTACACACACACACAAACAAACACACACGTATATATATATATATATATATATATATATATATATATATATATATATATATATATTGGTATGATTTTATCTAGCTGACAAACCAATACCAAACATACTTTACATTGAGCGTCCCATCTCACTTTTCTATCTCTCTAATAATATAACATATAAATTTCCTCTCTCTTTAAAATTGTAATACTAGTCGCTGACTAAAAAACAACAACAATTAATCAGATAGGGTGATGACCACAGCAACAGGTCTGAGCAGAAGTTAAAAATAGATTCTCACATACGTGCAGAATCACGTGACCATGTATCAACATTGAAAGAGCAAAGATCGACAGAAGCCGGTTGGGTGACCAAAGTCAGACCGGCTATGGAATCGCCGTGTAACCGGCATTACCAAACTGAAGAGAATGAATGATTTTCCCAACTCACACAAAGTGAAAACGGGTTTTTATGCGAATAATACCTCTTTTTACATGTTAGTGTCAAGCAAGGTTGTTCACACGATAAAAGACGAATACCAGTTCAACTGAACACTCTATGCTGCTTACATCAAATGCATAAGTGAATTGAGAAATGTAACAATCACCTCAGTATGGCATATGTGGCACATTCAGTTGGAAGAAGGATCCGAATAATGAATTCTGCATTGACGAATATACAACTTCTACAGCGCCGAATAAAGAATACTACATTGACGAAAAAAAGAATAGATCAAAGTACACCGCTATTCGAACGAAAGAAAATGATTTGGAAATGAAAAGGACAAAGAGAAAGAGAAAAGATAAAAAATGGAAAAGTAAAACTTTATTTCCGAAGAAAGTTTATTTTTTTTTAGTTCAAAGTTTAACCTCAGAATATAACGTATACATCTTTCCAGACAGAAATATATAACACGCATCTTTCCACGCATCCACTTGCCTAAATATTTTCATGTATTGACCAGTTATAATTAACTCTTTTTAATTTGTATATTGTCGTTTGGCATTCGTTACTCTTGGTTGTCATTTCGAATTCATGTTTTTGACCCTGTCGAGAATCCACGCAATATGGAGGGGCAAACATGGCATCATCTAGACAGTGACTTGTTATTTTTATCTTTTCTTCGTAAACTTTGTGCTGCTGTAAATGTCCGTAACTACATATATATATATATATATATAATATATATATATATATATATATATATGTGTGTGTGTGTGTGTATATATATATATATGTGTGTGTGTATATATATATATATATATATATATATATATATATATATATATATATATATATATATATATATATATATATATATATATATATATATATGTGTGTGTGTGTGTGTGTGTGTGTGTGTGTGTGTGTGTACTATATATATATGCAGATATATTGTATATATATATATATATATATAGGAATATACTTTTAAGATGTGCTATATTTATGAGATAAAGTGCTCAATATCAGAGATAGAACGTCTGTAAATATAAAAGTGAACATAAAAGCTATCACTTCGAGGTGACAGTCAGTTTCATATATATATATATATATATATAGATATATATATATGATGTCACACATTATGAAATGGACAAATCCGACAATTATTTTAAGACATTTTATGTTTATACATTCTTTTTATAGATACAAATATTTAAGTAAATTCTCTGTTTATAATAAACAGTATTAAACAACATTTACCGGCTGGAATGTCGAGACATTTTCAGAAAATATTCGTCCTAAAAAAAAATTCTCTAAAAAAAAAAATAAATAAATAAAAAATATATATATATATATATATATATATATATATATATATATATATATATATATATATATATATATATATATATATATATATATATGTATATATATATATATATATATATATATATATATGTATGTATATATATATATATATATATATATATATATATATATATATATATATATATATATATATATATATATATATATATATATATATATATATATATATATATATATATATATATATATATATATATATATATATATATATATATATATATATATATATATATATGTATATATATATATATATATATATATATATATATATATATATATGTATATATATATATATATATATATATATATATATATATATATATATATATATATATATATATTATATATATATATAAGCAAGTGTAAATGGATATAAATCCGACAGAATGAAGAAATTTTGAAAAAAACAAACATTTCATTTAACTACATTTAAGGATTTTGTTTGTTTTTTCAAAATTTCTTCATATATATATATATATATATATTAACAGGTATGGAGTCACTGTGGACAAATGGATAATGGTTCGAAAAAACCAAGCTCACTTACGTGCAAATACCTTTAGGAAAATTATAAGTACATCTCATTTTATGTGACAGAATGGGTGGCAACCCGTCTAAGAGAAGGATAAATCTTAATTCAAAACAGAGGGAAAGCCGTTTGTAGCAGTTTTCTGTATTTGGGTCTTCGAAGAATTGTGATTGAGCACAAGCCTTCATAATTATTCTCAAATCATATGTAGTCTGGCTGTCCGGTGTTCTGTGTGTGCGTGTGTCTGTGCATGTATGAGTGTGTATATATGTATGTTTGTGTGTGTGTTTGTGTGTGTGTGTGTGTGTGAATGCTTATATTTACATTTTTTACTACTCTTTAATAGATATGTGGTCGAATTCTTCATTGAGTGTCTTCTACATAATATTGGGGAGTGACTCTAAAACGTACCATATGTTGTCAACCATTTTGTACATCAAAGTGAGTAGAGAAAATTTTAAGGTAATCATCGATGGTTGTGCTCGCAGGAAGTCAGAAGCCATCGTAGCTGAGGGTTTGAGACTGCTCGTCTGCTTCAAATAATGATCACACCGATTTTCCAATTTGTCTCAAAACTGGAGTCTGCAAGAAGGTTTATGTAGCCACTTTAGCCAACAGATGTACATAGAAAAGAGTAGCCTGCAAATATATGTATACGATTAATATAGATTATGGCAACAATCTTTCATTTCCTCAAGTAATATTTGACAAAAATCAATGAATACATATATATTTTTTTATGTTTTAACACAAGGAAATAAATGGTTGGTTCCAAATTATGCAGGAGTTTTTCTACCATTTTTATTGTTTTTTAGCTTTCGATAAAGAATGTTGCACATTTCGTGTATCGATATGAACCAACCATTCGTGCCCTTGTATGAAAACAAGAAAAAACCCATAAAAATAACTGATAAATACTCAAAAACTGTTGTATTCAGTAATGTATGTATTTAATATTTTTTTTTATTCTTGAAGACTGTACAGATTAGAAATCTTAAAGTGTGAGACTGTCTGCGGCAAGTCGATCAATGATCAAGTTGGATGAATTTAGCATTGGTAAATAAATATTTTTTTGACGGTTCCTCAGGCGGGATACACGCACTTTCGTAATTCATCTATTTTTGGCAAACGCATCATACAATAACGCATTAACTAAGCACTGGGTATATTAAACGAATTAGATTAATTAGAATTATATATATATATATATATATATATATATATATATATATATATAATGTAGATCAATACGTCTTAACCTGACCTAAGAAATTCTTTATATTTCTATTTGATGATTTCAGTCTTAAACGATACATTTATGGGATTAAGAGAATTTTTTATTATATTAAACAATAAATATCTTGTCCAAAATAATTCTGTCTATCAGAGTATATCTCTCTCCCTCTCTCTCTCTCTCTCTCTATATATATATATATATATATATATATATATATATAAATATATAAATAGGGTAGAACATTGGTTTCGAGCAAGAAACATCCTGTCACCACTTTGTCAACGCACTATCCCGCATATTGACAATTTTTCTAGTCTGTGTATATGTGGATCTATCTATCTATCTATCTATCTATCTGCATTTTTTATAGAAACTTTAATATAAGTACCCGTGAAAAGTTCTAGGTTTTTCTTATTGCGATTTTCAGAAGAATCATAACACTGGTCATCACCACATTTATTGTCCAACATGATTTAGAACAATTTTGATGTGCTGAATCCAAAAATCACATTGATGTTGCCCAATCAGGTCAACCTTTTGAGCTATGGCAACATGCTTTTTTTGTTTACATTTTTGTTTCTGTTGTTATGTTCATTAAAATGACGAAATATGCATCATATTTCACACAATTAAACTAATGGTTATGCTTATTATAAACGTATTAGTTTTAACCTATCAGAAACATTTTCCGCCAAATATAGCTTTATCAATATTAAAACACGCCTCCAAAATATTTATAAACCAATAACATGCAAGAAAGTGTTTACATCTCAAAAGAATAAAAATTAGAAATGTTGTTTTATTAGTCAGTATACTTTAAGGCTACTGTGAAAATATTCCCCGGAGGTAGTAGTAAGCATACTACATCACTTTCTAAGGCCAATTAGTAATAACTAAAGTTATATAAATCAGGAGACAATTTCACAGGAATACCAGTATAAAAATTCCGATGTTTGGCCTCAACGACAGAGTATCTCAGCTTCAACTTAAGGTCATATCACTCAAACTACTGATATTCAAGATATCATTCAATTTCTCACACACACTATCAAGAAACTACTCAGCAGCTTGGTGACCAGGATCAAGTTTGGGTGACACACATGGTATTGAAGACATGTATCGAATATCTGCATTAGTGGACCAAGGTCAAAGGTGTTGTGTGAAATTTGGAATTTTCATTGCTTAGAGGGAGTCAACAAACCATAGCACTGACTGCTACTTCTGTGCTATTGATGAAACTGGGATCAATAGAAAGAACCGCCCTAAGTATCCTGATCTTCAATCAGCACGTCGTACGGTAGCTCATTGTGAGGAACTTCCAATGACTGTCTTTGGAGAACTTCCTGACATTAGTGAGAAAGATGTCTCAAGTGTTCAAGAAGAAGATGAAAAAGAAGTGTGTTTTGATAATGATGCTCCACATACTTTATCCCAAAACGAACTAAATGATCTCATTCACAATTTTCAGCTTCTCAAAGTCTTCTGCCAAACTTTTAGCATCTAGATAGGAATAATAAAAAAAACCCGTCCTCTCTGACAGTGCTCACATCACCTTCTAACACAACAGGCTTTAACAGTATCTCCGTTTTTTTTTTTCTGAAGTGAAGAACTTGGTGTATTGTACAGATATTGAGCAGCTTCTGCACAAAGTTTGAGCGCCACAGTACGAACCCAAACATTGGAAACTATTCATTGACAGCGACAAACGATCACTGAAAAGTGTTTAGATGCACAATGGCAACAGGTTTTCCTCTATACCCGTCGTTCACCCGACTACACTAAAGAAGAAATATGAAGCAGTGAAGTATGTTCTGTTGACAAATATTTATGATCGGGCAGGAGTGGTTTATTTGCGTTGACCTGAAATTGTTGAACTTTTCGTTGGTATAACAATCAAGGTTCACCAAGTATCCATGCTTTCTGTGCGTGTGGAATAGTAGAGACCCTGCTCAGCATTTGTTATAGTGGAACACACCTATTCTCTAGTTAATAGACTCGCCCAGCTATAATAAGTAAAGGTAGTAGTAGCAGTCGCTCAGAGACTTGGTCAGTCAGTCGACTGGCTGATCGGTTGAACTCTCCGCCTTCGGGCGGGGAGGAACCCGAAAGAGGCTATGCCGAAGAACAGATTCTCTTTCGGGGAGGTAAACCGATCCTGAACCCATTTATACGGGTTCAATAGGCATATTTTTAGCAGAGCCCACGGGCTCGGAGATCCCACGTTAAACCGGCCTTGTGTCACATGATGCCCTCATGGGTGGGGGACTAAATATCGAGTTGGTCAATCAGTCGACTGGCTGATCGGTTGAACTCTCTACCTTCGGGCGGGGAGGAATCCGAAAGAGGCTACGCCGAAGGGCGGATTCTCTTTCGGGGAGGTAAACCGACCCTGAACCCATTTATACAGGTTCAATGGGCATATTTTTAGCCGAGCCCACGGGCTCGGAGATCCCACGTTAAACCGGCCTTGTGCCACATGATGCCCTCGTGGGGGGAGGGGTGGCTAAATATCGAGTTGGTCAGCCAGTCGATGTCGGACGACCGTTAGTCGGATATTAAATATCAGCCATCACAACTAGATTACTGCGCCATTACCAATTATATCAAGTTCCTAACGTTGTGTACGTCGAACCTATTTTAGGACCGACTTAGTACAAATAAAAGCCTCCACTGTGAAACCATTACATAACAGCATTACTCGAAAAAGGACTGGTCTCTTGTGGGGGGATTGATGCCTTGCAGAGCAACACACATCAACAATAAGTCACTAGTGGATAGAGACTGGAGAATTTTCCCGCCGTTGCACATCAAGCTCGGTTTGATCAAGCAGTTCACCAAATCTCTGAACAGGGATAGTGGCTGCTTCACTTACTTGTGTCAGGTTTTCCAGGATTAAAGATGGAGAATTTGAAAGCTGCCATCATTGATCATCCTCAAATCCGTCAGTTCATCAGATACCCCCAGTTTGAAAAGTAGAACTGGAAGAATGGAAGGCTTTTGTTCTGGTCGTGAAGAATTTTATTGGCAACAACAATGCCAGGAACTTCATCAATATGCTGACTGCTTTCAGTTACCTCGGATGCAAGATGAACATCAAAATGCATCATTTATTCACACATATTGATCAGTTACCTGAGAATTCGGGATCTGTAAGGAGGAACAGGAGAGAGAGATTCCATCAGTACATGAAAGAGATAGAGACCAGGTATCAGGGACGCTGGGATTCAGTCATGATGGCTGATTACTGCTGGACTTTGAAGAGAGATACCCTTGTCGCTGATCATTCTAAGTATTTGAATAAATGGAATTTCAAGCCCTGAATTTTGAACTATGATGACGTAACATTCAATTTGCATGTTCTTACATTTTTCAATGTATACTATTCAATTTATTGTAATCGATGTTTCGAACATTTCATTAATAAACTGTGTTAGAAAACTTTTTTTTCTCTCTTAAAAAATTACTTTGTATGAGAAAAATTAAACAACTTCAATGGATAATGTCACAAAAATGTAATCGATTTTGTCATAAGATCGGATTTTTATCAACTCAACATAGCACAAAAACATGACCTGCTTGAGAGAAATCGATGTCATTTTCGAATTCAGCAGTGACAAATTGTCCTAAATCATTTGGAAAAATATAGACAACTTAAGAAATATTGTTCTTTTGTTGCCCAGTGAATTCTTAATTCAATGGATGAATAGGTTCCTTGACAGTTTCAAGAGTACAGAATATTTTACAACATCTATTAGAAAAGATTGTAAAACCAATGATAAGTATGAACGTCGCCGCCTCTAAATTCTATTTGTATTTTATTTTCACCTTCTTCTTCGTCTTCTTCTTCTTATTATTATTATTATTATGTTTGCTTTATATTTGTTACTGAAGCCAGACAGCAACATTTATAAAGTGTCTTCCATCGCAATCAATACGGAATAGTTGAATTGTAACAGCCGTACTAACTTGCAAATTTGCTAATAGAACACAATCAGAAATTTGTAGTATAACATATTTCCTGCAAAGTTTTGTTTTGTATTTTCTACATATGATAACAATAGTTTCAATAAACCCAGATAATAAATGAACGGTAAAGAAAACTAAACAAATACTTATTATTCCAAATCAAATGATTTCCAAAATAGTAATCGTTTATCAATTCTTAAATAGCTTCGAGGGTTCGAAACTTACATATGATTGTTATGCATTGTACCAAAGTCGCTCAGAAATAACGAAACTGCCAGTTGTTTTTAACGACTTTCTCAGATAGGGGGTTAAAAATTAATGCACCTATGGAACTTTATGAAGACCATCATTCTTCTGGTGTTACAGAAGCACAATGAATTAGCAGATAAATGAAGCCACATCAATTGGGACTACCAACAGCAGCAGCAACAACTATATTAGATATCAAATGTGACATGAAGAGAAAATAATAATATAATCTAGATAATATCATCTCACACTACTTTGAACAAAGTTTTTAGTAAACTTTAAAAAATTATTTACCTGAAATAATTATTTAATAGATTTTTTTTAAAAATTTCAACAGAAAGTAGAAATGACCCTATGGTCAGTAAATGCTGAATGTTTCAACATATGAGATCGACTAACATTATCATTGCCATAAGAGATGCGATGAAGTTATTACACGATGATCCTCACCCTATGGCCAGTGAGCGAAGAAAAGAATAAGTCAACTAATGATTCAACGGTGAATATTAATTATACATATCGAATATTATATAGTAGAAATTACAAATTAAACGCCAAATATGATTAATCCCGCATCATATAACATTGGATTTGCCATTCAAAAACTTTTTCATACTTGGAAATAATTAGATGTCTGTCTTCTGATGAATGAGAATGTGATACCGAAAACTGGCGCAACCCTAACCCAAACTAAGCAAAATACTAAGAAATAGGAAATAATCGCCCGAAACAAAGGAAAGAGTGGGGTAATGCATTTAATGTCACATATATAAGGCAAATGATTTTAAACAATTTCTTCAAAAATGAAAAAGAGATTTAAACCGATAAACGTGTGGTTCCTTCGACGAATGTTAAGAATATGAAGGATAAAATAAATATTCCGATTAGAAATAGACCTTAGAAATTGCTAGAACAGATAATGAGGAAAGGATGTCTGGAGACTTGAAGACGTACAAGACAAGAAACAACGATTAAACTACTTAGATATTGAATGAATGAATGAATGAATGAACGAATGGAGATAAAGAAGGATGGTAAAAGTAAAATTAATACCGATGTTAACAAATGATAGGAAGATGTTCTATTCAGTTGTAACAGTTTTAGCAAAACCAGCTTGCTAACCATTACACCACGCCGAGTCGCCCAAGTCAATATGTTGTATATGCATTTCATTA